ACACCATTTCACCAAATTTACAGCTCCATTGAATGGTGTTTAAGTCTTCAGATGAAGATTGTTCTACTATGACAGTCATAGGCTGGTTTTTGAAATGCACATTACCTGCCAGTTCCTTGACCTCAAAAAATAGAACTCAGTGAACAGTTAAGCCTTTAATTAAATATGTTCTGACAATTGTTTCAGTCACTGATAACTATGATCTTGTTCCTATTGAATTACAATTATAACATTGGAGTAGAAAAATTGCAGACTTTCTACTGGTTTGTTATAAATATAACATAATGCATACTCTGTTCTCTGTTATTTAACCATATTTGAAGCGGAATACTCTCCAGTCTGCAGAATTCTGTCTTGCATTCTATGGGTAAAATCCTTTAAGATGTCATTATCCATGTCAATACAAGTTTTTACTCTATTCTCAAGCAAATGGGTAAATGTATGAACAAAAGGGGATGTCTTGGGTTCCAAGCATTGGTTATAAAATACTTACTGTTCCATTTGATCAGTTTTCAATTATCAAGCCTTGCTGGATCTTCTTTTCTTTCTGATGCAAAGGCACTCTACTATCGTGTCATAGATAAACCCTTTGCAACATCTTGCTTCCTCAGTGTCCACCTTCAAGATCTAATAGCACTTCAGATAAGACTTTTTCTCCTGTGTCTAATGGAGTCTTGGTGCCTTCATGCCCCAGAAGTGGTTCCATGTAACGGCTGTGTCTCTATGCCAGTTCTAATGATGTTATATTGTACTTGTCGTCATAAACCATTCCATTTTCTAAAAAGCATTATTGCCAGTGCAGTACTAATCAACGTGACTAAAAATGCCAGAACCTAGCCTATAGCTTCTAATATTCTCTGAAACCCACAGGTGTAAAATTTAAGCTAAAATAAGTGGAAGGCATATCCAGCTAAAAATTATGGTTTTGTCAGTTACAAGTATGCAGTGTGGAAAACACTGCAGGTGACTGGGATAGACTACTTTAAAAGATAAAGGTTTCCACCCTTAAGCCCTCAGAAGCAACTCTGAATTAAGTCATGGACACAAACATGCAAGATCTTTATCTACAGGAGATATTTTGTTATCGATCTGAAATGGAATCTCCAAGTCCCTCAAAGAATCAAGTGCCTTTATAACACCTCAAATATTTAAGGAAAGAGGTTTTTTTGGCAAGATGGAGGATACTCCATTTAATATTAAAAAAAGTCCAAAGTTCTGTGTGGCAGTTGGAAGAAGAGGTGGAAATACAGACATTGAGATCAAACACCTGATGGTAGTAGAAACATTATGTTATCTCATGGACCTGGAAGGATCTTTTGTTATCCTAGAGTCAGGTTTTCCTAAATACAGCATTTACAAAGACATGTCACAAACTTAATTTTGTTGTCACTTACCTACTATCTGTAATTACTACTGCAGCCATGTGTAATTTTTTGAATGCAGTTTTCAACGTTCAAAAGCTTAATTTGCTTAAGGTAGAAAACATTATCTCATCTATTTCTGTTTGTTAGATATCTGTGGTTTATGTATAAATCCACTATAATTTTAGCATACTCTGTCAGAATGTCTCAGAAAAAAAAGAAGGTTCCAGAAACAGTTTTTAGACAACAGCAGCAATGGTAGTCTAGTCCCTATAAAATGAGAAACTGAGGCAGCAATGTTGTACTGGTTTCACAACAATATGGAAAATTCCTGGCTCAGTCATGTATGTTAACATTTAGACCCTGTAAGTTTGACTCAGTTGATATTTAAAAGCAGAAAAAAAAATCCAACTTTTCCTAGAGAATGTTCTTAGTTATTATACTATGATTCTGACTTTAAATTTTATTCCTAGTTTTGATGGCCAAGAATTGAGATGTTTGACTTAACTCTGGCAAACCTACGTAGTAATTTATTCCTGTGACCAATCCTTTTTTAGGATTCTCTCCTCTGAAGTCAGTCTTGGGAGAGAAATCACATTCCAGAATAGCAATGCAGACACGTGGGATCTGTTTGATCTCTGCTTTTAGCCCAAAGTCTGTGTTTACTGGGGAGTGACTTGTTATGTTTTGATATACTAATGGTACTATTCCACAACCACTAAAACCTTGTCTAAAAAAAGCAACCCTATTTTATTAAGAAAAACTATGCATAAATCCTTTTTAGATGGTTTTTGTAACTCAGTTCCCAGGAAAAAAAAAATCATACTGCATAGGAAAAGATAGTATTATAGAAAATTGCTAACTCAGGCGCTGAAAATAGTTCAACAAATGAAAATAGCAAATCACAAAAAAAAAAAAAAATCTGTCAGGTTTCAGGGAAATCTGTATACAGTGTATTGTTGCACAAGTGCCTAATAATACAATTGTCACAGCAGTGAATCTAAGCCAGTTTGACAGTGCTAAACCATTGGGGCTTTTGTTTCATGCAAGTTATGAAAATTTAGTATGTAACACCAGGCATAACTGCAACTTCTGTAATAAATTTACGACCTCAGAAGCTGGGCTCCTCTCCAGGGTGCTGATGCAACAGCACAGTTCTGCTCTGCACTCTTGCAGCATTTGTTTATTAACTGGTTTCACTCTGATTGATACAATTTTTTTTTTAATGAATGAAGAATTAAGTGCAGAGGTTGACTGAAATTTACTTGGCTCATTGTAATGTTGCTATGAAAACCAAAACAAAGTCCAAGCTCAAGTCTCTGTCCAATATGCAGAAAGAAAAAAAAAAAAAACCAAAACCAAAACAAAACAAAAAACCCAAAACAAACCCCAACAAAAAAAAAAAAAAAAAAAAACAAACAAACAACAAAACCCAAAACAAAACACCAAACATAGTTTAGTATCTTGGGGTTGAGACTCTCCTTTCCATTTCCTTCTGCTCTGGAAGTGATCAACAATGGCTTGTCTAGTACAAAGTTAAAATAAATGTTCTGTAAACACAAACACAAGGTCATTCTCTTTTTATTCTTCCCAGCCCAAGCATTTATCCATCTATCTGAGGATAAAACATGACTACAACAACGACCTCAAAGCTACCTTTTAATGGAATTGGAACTGAATTGCCTATATGGTAAAAGTTCCCTTACATGACAGAACAAATCATTACTCCAACATTAATTTTCATCAAGAAGTTGTTTAGCCACATTGTACATCATTAAATCTGTGATGCTAGAGCATGAACATTTCAGATCTGGAACACAAGGTATTCCTGAGAAACCTGGAGGATTGATGACTCACTAATGGCAGCAATGATAAAAACATAAATGTGAAGAACCATGACAAAAATGAGCACTTCAGGCCATGTCACTGCCTCCCAGAAGAGCAACAACAGTGTCAGGTAAGTAGAATGAAAAATTTGAGCCCTAAGATAGTAATTGTGGGTTTAAGATGGACTGCTCTCTAGGTAAAGACTCTTGTCTAGAGACAAACCATCATTCAGTTCCACTGAGAGGGGGCTCTAAGATGAGCTCAGCTAGAGTTTTACACATTATAAACCTCCACAGAACGAAGTCGTAGAAAGCCAGATTTTCTAAGTTTTGCTGTTAATGGATTTACTTGGCTTATTTTAATTTCTGTTGGAGCATCCTAGCTCTAATAAAGTGATTTTTAAAATCACTTATAATGAATTCTAACTTAAAATATTTTGTACAGTTAGAAAAGCAGTAACCTCTTAATACAGATCATAAAGAGATCAAATTGTCAAATAATAATTTCTGCTTAAGTACATAGCACTTGTTTTATACCATAAGCACCAAATTGCTTACAGAAATGAGAAGTTCTTAAGGCTTTCCCTCCAACCAACTTTGCAATGTCTTAATCCAAACTGATTTAACATTTGGAAAAAACTTTTGCACCCATTTTATAAAAAGCCCGTCATTTCTGGAATATCAGCTACATTTAATATATTGATCTCCTCCAGAAATTCTGTTGCTATTTTTTGGGGCAGTACAGAACTCTGAGAAATGCACTCTTAAAACGTCCTCCTTACTCATCTGAAGAGCGTAGGTCACATGGCTGGTTTATAATATCTGGCTAACACTGACAAAATGCTAGCCTTTCCAGCCGTATTACTATTAGAAAGAATATTCTTTTGTCTTGGTTAGGAAACAAACCTATAAAATGTGGGTGTAAGGATGTTGTCTTTCTGCCTACACCAGATGCCACTGGAACTAGCATTGCATATGAGACTTCTTTTTTCCCAGATGGTGAAAGCTTGCAGATTTATGAAGACTGCTACATAAAGATGTAGTTTTCAGAAGTTCGTTTGTTTTGCTTGCAAAGTTTTCAGAGTGATTTATGTAAAACTGAACCTTGGTGTTTAAAAATACAGTGGTGTTTGTACTTTCATTTCTGAATAGTTTGATTTTTGACTTCTGCCACTTTGAAGTACAGCTTGAAAAGGGAGGAATTTGTCCAGTACTAAATTCAGTCAGGGTTTTTATTTGGATATTGAAACCTCTGAATATTCTTTCCAGCTACAGATATTATATGCCCTGATACTTTAGGACAAACAGGAGGTATTCCCTTACCTACAGTGGTAAATGGATGATGCCCGTTATACTCGAAATCTGAATTCCTGTGTATCTTATGTGTTTCTGTCTGTTATGGGAAAAATACTCCCCCTGAGCAGCGTGCATTTTCCTCATAAAACTAATTTTTTAGCAAACTGAAAATTTAAAATAATCAGCATTTGTCCAAGTAAATCAGTATCTAAAAACGACTGCAGAATGAGAAATCCTGTCGTCATACGTCTGAGAACGACGAAGCAAAATTCTCACGAGGAACTCTCTGCCATGGAAAAACTGCAGCACACGAGGCGGCGGCGGCAGCGGACCGGCGGCTCCCGCTCTGTCCCCTCACGGCGTACGCGCCTCCCGGGCCCGCTCCCAAGCGGCCTCCCGCTGCTCCGGGCGGGCGGGCGGGCGGGCGGGCCCCGCCCCCCAGCGGGCCCCGCCCCCCAGCGGGCCCCGCCCCCAGCGGGCCCCGCCCCCCAGCGGGCCCCGCCCCCAGCCGCCGCCCGGGTAACCGCCGCCACCGTCCCAGCGTGCCTTAGCGCTGCGCTCCGCCGGGCTTCCGTCCGCCGGCAGCGGGTGTCCTCGCCGCCATCTTGTGCGCGGGCGACCCGCGCAGCGCGGTGGGCCGCCATGGAGACAGGTGAGGGGGATGCCGCTGGGTCCGGCGGGACCGCGCGGCGAGGGCGGGCAGGCCGAGCGGTTGCGGCCCGGGCAGAGGCGGTCCTGCCGCACGGGAGCGGGGGCCGATCCCGCTTCCTCGGAGAAGGCGGCTCGGGGCGAGCTGCTGCTGCGCTGCACGGCCGCGGGCCCTCCCGTGCCTGCCCGGGTCAGGCCGGCTCCGGCGCCCCGTTTGTTCCGTTGCGGCCGCCCCTGGCGCTCGTGCAACGTCCCGCGGCCCGTATTCTCCCAGAGGCCTGGGAGGGGTGTGTTGAGGGTATCGGGGGGTGCATCCGTGGTGGTAGAGCTAAATTCCGCTTTCCCAATTAAATAGCTTTTGCCACGGCGGACACCCCGGCCTCATTTTGAATGTTTGCCCTACAGCTGCAAATCTGGGAGCACAAGGCCTTCAGTCACTCCCAGTCTGTTCTGCATCCTTATTCCTGTGGAAGGCATTACTTTTCATAGTTTTCTGTGAGCCCTGAGCTTGTTACTATGCCTGGGCAGCATTTTAGAAAAAAGGAAGGTGTGTTTAGATGCAGCCGTTTCAGAAGCACGTATATCCTAGTGCTGAGGTTTGTCGATGACCACAGCTGGGAACTGGAAGTTGGCCTTAGTCCTGTGAATGTGTGGCATTCCTCCATTCTTTGCACCTGCTTGACTGTAAAGAAAGAAAAACCCAGCGTGTTCATTAATGCAGGCCCAACACTTGATTCATGTAATGAAGGCTTTGCTGAATTAATTTGTATTTATTATGGGGAGTTAACGATTTTTCTCCTGTTTAAACATGTTATCTCTATTTGTATGGCTCAAACTGCGACAATTACTTTTCAAATCTATTGTGCTGGTCCAGTTCTTATTGTTTTTCTCACGTATCAGATGATACAGGAAATCGACTTCGGTTCCAGCTGGAGTTAGAGTTTGTCCAATGTCTGGCAAATCCAAATTACCTCAACTGTGAGTACTTAAAAGTAAATATCAGGATCCTGAGGAATTAATATAATTTAACGGTGTTTATTATTACTGGCAATGTTAAACAGGGAGAGAGGTGGCTAAACAAAGAAAAAGGAATGGGTCTTCACGGCATAAAGGTAGTCTGTAAATAGTTAAACTCGTCTATATTTCTAACAGGTGTTTTTTTCAAAATGCAAAATGTTTTATGGGTTGAAATTAAAAAAAAATCTGTCTCAGGGAGAAAAAAGTAGTCAAGTCTGTAGTTGTAAAGTAATGTCAAGATAACAGTATTCCTTTATCTGAAAATAGAATGGTACTAATGTTAATAATAGTTTCAGGTACTATATTTAATTCCGTGCCCATTTTGATGCTACAGTCAGAATTTCCCATTTCAAAAAGCTGTTCGTTCTTGCTACTGTAAGTGCCTAATATGTTGACAGAAAAATACATTTTCCCCGTCTTTTTTCAGTTTGAATTATCAAAATTTTATTGTAAAGTTTTGACTAACATGCCTCTTTTTATAGTTTGGTGAATACGTATACTTCAATTTTGTCTTTTTTTTTTTTTTTTTCCACGCATCTGTAACTGACAATCCCTTATTTGTCATTTTATTTCAGTTCTTGCACAAAGAGGCTACTTCAAAGACAAAGCTTTTGTAAATTATCTTAAATATTTACTTTATTGGAAAGAACCTGAATATGCAAAATACCTGAAGTAAGTGTTAAAATCACTTAGGTTTTAGCATTTTAATGGTTTGATATTTACCTTGTTAGGTATTGTACAGCAGCATGTCAGTATTTGATTTTTGCCCATAACCTTATCTTTGTCCTCCCTACTGTGTTTATATGCATCATAGATTTTTTTTTTCTGACAGTCCAGATGTAGCAAGAATAGACAAAATTATAAAACTTGTCTTTCACAAGTCATGCACAGAATCTTCCTTTTGCAGCCTTTATCTGTACTTTACCATTTGTTTAAAATAAAATTGTTGAATGTTATGGTACAAAACTACTTCAGTTAGGCCCAGTAAGTATATTTTAAGAATAATTTTGCATTGTTGATGCTTACATGAAACAAAGGATAACCTTGCATTTTCATGTGTAAACGCTTTCAAAATTTGGGAAAACAGTTCTTGGTTATGTTCTTCAAATGAGCTCTGGAAGCAGATAGCATATTTATGTATTTGTTTTAGTAAAATCTAGCCATTAGAAAAGCTACTCTAAGCATGTATATGCAGTTATAAACTGTTAGTGGACTCGCCTAATACTGAAGTTAGCAACTTAGTGTGTGGGATCTGTACGGTCTTACATGGTTTGATACTTAACTAAAGCACATGCGTGATAAAACTGATGAGCTGCAGGATTATTGGAGACTCCAGTTTCAGTGTACTTTGTAAAAACTCGTATTAAAGTATTTCTATTTTTAATCAAGGTATCCTCAATGTTTGCATATGTTAGAGCTGCTCCAATATGAACATTTCCGCAAAGAACTGGTAAATGCTCAGTGTGCTAAATTTATTGATGAGCAACAGATTCTTCACTGGCAGCACTATTCGCGGAAAAGAATGCGTCTCCAGCAAGCCCTTGCAGAGCAGCAGCAACAAAACAACACCTCCGTAAAATGAAAAATGCGTGGAAGAGTGATAAGGTGTACTTTTTGTCAGTTGAATATTTACAAGAGGAATGGACCTTTATGTAGGTTTGGCTCTGTGTGTGTGTATACTTAATTTTTGATTTATCAAATGACTGGGTTTTTTCTTCTTTCATCAACTTCTTTAAAGATACAAGACTGATAAACACCTACTTCTGCAATTTATTTTGTGGCATGGACAATTTTGTAATAGCATTACTTACCTTAGTTATTGATTCTTGATTTTGAAAACAAAGCATGGTTTTGTTGCTGATACTGAAGTAGCTAACAAAAAGTGTAGCTCAGAAGTCTGTTCTTAGGAGGCATTTTCCCTGGAGAATAATTACGTGTCTCAACGTGTGGCTAAGGACTCCCTCATGTACTCCTTTTCACAACTGTAAGATGAGCAAACTTAAAGTGATGATATTGTACAAAATCTAAATTGTGGATTTTTGCCTTGAAACAGAACCAAGCTATTACTTGTCATTTCTGTTTACTTGGTAATCATTGTTACTGGGGGTCTTATGGAGTTTTCCTTATAGCATGTTTTACAGATAGAAATCAGTGTGATGAGTCAAGGACTGCAGAAATGGAGCAGAGATAAGTAATAAACTTTGCAGATAGTGAACAGAAGGAAATAGGCTGTAGCTGTATCTATTCCATTACAGTAAGCCCACCTTAATCTTTTTTTACTGGTAGAAAACATAGTGGCTGCCTTTAGGCTTCTCTATAGTATGTGTAGTGAAAACAACAAACTTATGAAAAAAGGTGTAAATGCTTGCAGTATTGGAGAAGCATTTGCCATTTATTTCTGCAGTTTCTGTTGTAAGAACACAGATCTTAGCAGTTGTCATGGATTTAATTTTTGCATTTCAGGTTGTATTCGTGCTGCATTTCATATCCTTGTAGGAGCAGGTACTGCAACACTTAACATGATCAGTGACACCAAGATTGTTAGCCTTCAGCTTATCAGACTGAACAGATAAGCCATTAAACATTTTTGGCATTGAAAACTTATCAGCAGCTTCAGTAGCTATATGAAGTCAGATTTAGAAAGAATAAGGTTTTTCTGTTTCTTCTGCCACCCCCCCTTCACTATTAAAGGTATAACTTACCAGTTAAGTCTTACTCTTCAGTAATTGCAGGCTGTTCTCTCAGTTTGTAATACGAGCTCAGCTCCTTTGAAAAGAAACTGTTTGCAAACTCAAGTTTATTTGATCATGAAAGGAAAGATACAGGGGTTTTTTTGCAAGATTTTAGTGGAAGGTTTGGACCTAGAGTTTAATGACACTTATCTTGACCAGTCTGAAGTAATTAACCATTAAAGTTTAAGAAGGTTATTGATTTCTTGAAAGGACACTGCAAATGACTGGATTAACATCTTCATAAATGATTGACTACTGGAGGACTTAGTCTTCAGTAAACAACATACGCACAAGTTCTGCTTTAAAACACTCTTCTTCAACCAGCTTCTGAGGCTAAAAGAAAAGTTAAGATGGTTCAGGGGCAATTCAAAAACTTACATACTATAGCCATTTGTTCATACTAACATTAGCCATATTCCAGCAGTTGTTTTTCCAGGGAGAGTGGGGTGGAGCAAGCAAGTTAAGAATAATTGTAAAAATGCCTGAAGGTTTTCTGGCCTTGGAAGAGGCATTTATAAGAAAGTAACTGCTAATTTAAATAATAAGCACAAGTTAAGACCTGAGCTGGAGTCTGTTTGAATCAAGAATATACCACACACAACTTGTTTCACTCCTGTAATTAAGCATTTGGATTTTTTAAAGTTTGAGGAGCTGCAAGTCAGTAAGCTAACAATATGTTGCTAAGAATTTTCTCTACCCCATAACCATTACATGCTAAGTGTATCTATTTTCTTTAATATAAGTTTATTATAGACAACATTATACAGAAAGCAGGGTGCTTCTCTCTTGAGGAACTGAACCAGGAGTGCACAGGTGAGAGTAGAAGAGCTGTTCCTAATTATCATCTCTTTTTAAACAAGAGGATATTGGAAAACATGCATGACATTCATTTACAGCCATAAGCTACTGTCAGATTCTCATATGAATACCTGTAGATCCAGAACATACAATCACTTACGGTTCCATATTTAAGTAGTGTAGGCACTCCTGTTAGTTTCAGATTCTTCCTGAATTCATTGTTGGGATCCTTCCAGCTGTTCAGGAAGAAAGGGTTAAGCACAGCTTGTAGAGTTGCAGTTTGAAGTTAGCCTGTTAAAATTCCTTCATAAGGATGATTCAAAGGTCTTTGCCTTGTACCTCCCCAACCCACTTCTCAGAAGCAGCATGCAGATCACATTATGGATAGTGTATGCCTCAAAACACAATGAAATACTTAATTACTTGCAAGAAAGGACAGTTCAGTCAGTTGTTCCAACAGGCTAATTTAACCACCAGCCCACAAATAGCAAAGTTGTATCAGCTGGCATTAAAGCAGTTACTTACTAGGCTCTGTCTCCTACTAGGCAGTAGATGAATACAGACTGATCAGGCATGTGATGAAGTTCCTTCCTAACAATCGGTTCAGCTGGAAAGTAATTTAAAAGATCTGTTAGTAGTTAACACTTCTACTGTGCTACAAAATCACCTGGCTCTACTTTGACCAGCAACACTAATTAATGTTTTGCTTCAGGTAGGGATCTGTATTTTGTTTCATCTAGTTATTCACAAGTGTTGCAGAATTTATTATGTGCTCGATGTTGAAGGGACTCGCCTTTGAGTGAAGGCCCATTTCTACTTTCACAAGAAAACTAATCAATGTCTTCTGTCTCTGTGAAAGCCCATCAGAACCGCAGTTGCCATATGTACCCTATGTGATCCTGAAAGTTCAGTGTGGTGTTTCCTGAGGCACTGTCTTCATCTTCTGCTGCCAGACACTGACTGGTAGATCACTTCTGCCTCTTGATGTATAAAGCAGAGGTGAATTAACTGATCAGAAGGCTCGCATCTAATTGTTTGCTGGGCCTTTGAACCAGCCTCTGCTGAACAACATGTAACATTACATGCCATTCCGTGGAGGTAACAGAAGCAAGTGTGGCACGGGCAGTTCGTTAGCGAGGCTTTAGCTAGCTCCTAGTCGCAGCCGACGCTGCCAGTTAGTCACGAGCTCGGTAAACCGCAGCTAGAGCTTGAGACAACCTCCTCCGGCACACTCGGGATCCTCGCAAATGGCGACCGGGAACCCAGCCGGGATGCCCACCGCACGCGTTTCGGGAAGGGCACCCGGCACCGGGGAGCGGCAGCGCGTAGCCGCGGGCAGGGCCCGCCGGCCCGCGAGGGGCACAGCTCGCACGGCCCCCGCGGGGCTGAGCGCTCCGCCGCCGCCGGGGCCCCGTGAGGCCGAGGAAAACGGGCCCGGCGCCCGCCGAGCCCCCGCAGCGGGCAGCGGCGCGCCCCGAGGACCTCACCCGTCACGCAGTCCGGGCACCAGCTCCTGCCCTCGGCATCCTTGTCACCGCAAAAGAGCGCGAAGATGGGCCGGCCGTGGTAGCGCTGCGCGGTCTGCACGAACTCGGCGTACCCGCGGACCTGCTTCTCCTCCCAGCCCATGGCGGCGGCGGGAAAGGGCGGGCTGCGCCGCGGGCACCGCAGTTCCGCGTCGCTCCGGCCGCTTCCCGGCGGCCTCTGCGGCGGCGGTTGCCAGGAGCGGGTTTGAACAGCGGCCCGGCCCGGGCCCGGCCCGCCGGCGCTTCCGTCTCGGCCGCGGGCGGGGCGGGGCGGGGCGGGGCGGCCGCCGGTGCCCGTCCCCGTCCCGGTCCTGCCCGCGATGCCGTGAGGGCGAGGGTGAGGCGGGCAGCGGCCGCCGGGCTGTGAGCTGCAGGCGGCTGGAGGGAGGTCGCGCTGCAGAGGAGGCCGCCTCGCGAGGGCTGCGTCGTGACCAAAAGCAGGCACGGCCGAACAGGCGTCCGCACCCGGGGCTGTTTGAGACCGGAAGGGAGGTACGTGCAGTGAGCTAAGGAGCGGAGACAAGGACTGTAGTTCAGGCGCGAGAGAAGGTTTTAACAGCGTTATGCGTTGGATCCTGCTCGCTTTTTCATTCTCAGAGGCAGGTGAAGGAGACCTAAGTTTCTAGTTGTCTCCACCTGTGGATCTTATTTTAAATCCTTCTCTGTGAAGAACTTTAGGTATGAGCATACCCTTAATCTGTTTTCCTTTGACCCTAACATTTTTGTACGGACCCGGTTGCCTCGAGCACTGCCTTAGGCTATCTTGCTAGTCTTGTTTTGGTTTCTTAGCGTTGTAGTACACCATTTCCCTTTTAGGTATTAGCTATAAAACTTGTGCAGCAGTCTTATGGTTCGTAGTGGGAGCCTCACAGTCTGTAACGGTGCTCCTCAGCTCTCCGTGGGGATGTGTAAAAGAATGGTATAAATTGTAAATTTTGCTTTGAGCAGTGGGATTGTATTCTCCATTTTGCGTATCGCCTCATGAATACACATGATATGTTTTACATCTCCACGTCTCCTCAGATTGGTTTTCTGTTATTCACATCAGCCCTGTGATTGCTTTTGAGAGGCAGAAATAATGTATGATTCTTCTTACGTTCATAGTTGTTACTGTAAGCAAAGGACAAGTAACTGGATTTTCAGCCTCAAGTCAATGTGATGGGACTAAGCAAGCCAACTATGTCTGATGCTACATTTGCATTCCCTACCCAGCTATACAGGAATGAAGCAAAGGCTTTACAAACACAGGTATTATTTGACTTCGGCAACGATGCTGAATTGGTTTTGATTTGTGATTGTTATAAAAGGATGATTATGGCCCACTTCCTGAGATAGCCCCCTAGTGATTGTCAAGTCTTCATATTTGCTTTCATGATGCTATTATACATAATCTTGACACTGTCATTGTGTAAGGGTATAGATCAGAAACTACATCTGTAAATATGATTTACCTGTCTGTCGTGCTTTAATCCCAGTAGTCAGCTAAGCACGCAGCCATTCACTCACTCTCCCCTCCCAGTGGGACGGGGAAGAGAATCGATAGGGTAAAAATGTGAAAACTCATGGGTTGAAGTAAAGACAGTTTAATAAGTTAAAGCTGCAAGGACAAGTAAAGCTAAATAAGAAATTCATTCACTACATCCCATCAGCAGGCAGGTATTTAGCCACTTCTGCAGCTTCATCACATGTAATGGTGACTTGGGAAGACAAACACCATAACTCAAAACATCCCCCCTCCCTCCTTCTTCCCCACAGCTTTTATTGCTGATGATGATGTCATATGGTATGGGATATCCCTTGAGTCAGTTGGGGTCAGTTGTCCCAGCTGTGTCCCCTCCCAACTTCTTGCCCACCCCTAATCTACACACTGGCAGGGCAGTGTGAGAAACAGCAAAGGCCTTGACACTGTGTAAGCCCTGCTCAGCAATAACTAAAACATTGGAGGGCTATTAACACTGTTTTCGTCACAAATCCAAAACATAGCCCCATACTAGCTACTATGAAGAAATTTAACTCTATCCCATTCTAAACCATTACACTATCTTAACCTCTTTAGTACGTGGAAACAGAACCTAGAAACGTTATTCTGGTCCCACATCTCAGCTTTCCATTTCTCCTTCATCATGCATCTCCATCATTACTCCTTCTGTTACCTTTGTAAATTTAGTAATGCCTTACTAAATCAGTATGATATAATCCTACCCATTTATATTACCAATGTTAATTGTTATTATAACTTATTAATTTAATTGTCAGAACTCCTACAAAAATTCTTTATGAAGGCATTCATTGTTGATTGCCCAGTCACTTTGGAGCAGATTTTTTAATCTGTGTACCCTTCCTAAAGTGCCCACCCTAATTTACTGATAAGTGCCTAGTGTTATTTAAAAGGTGAACTAAAAGCTTAATTCTTAATTTTCAATACTGGCATTTATCTGAGTGGATGAAATGCTTTGCATGCATTGAGAGCAGCCCTATGGAGATGGACTTGGGGGTATTAGTGGATGGAAAACTGCCCGTGAGCCAGCACCGTGCGCTGGCAGCCCAGAACCCACCCGTGCCCCGGGCTGCAGCCAGAGCAGGGGGGGCAGCAGGGCCAGGGGGGGGATTCTCCCCCTCTGCTCCGCTCTGGGGAGACCCCCCTGCAGTGCTGGGGCCAGCTCGGGGGCCCCCAACAGCAGAAGGACACGGAGCTGCTCGAGCGGGGCCAGAGGAGGCCACAGAGATGCTGGGGGGGCTGGAGCAGCTCCCCTGGGAGGCCGGGCTGAGAGAGTTGGGGGGGTTCAGCCTAAAAAACTGCCAGAGGGGAGATTTAGGTGAGATCTAAGGCCGAAATCCTTCCCTGTGCGGGGGGTGAGGCGCTGGCCCAGGGTGCCCAGAGCAGCTGTGGCTGCCCCCTCCCTGGAAGGGTTCAAGGCCAGGTTGGACGGGGCTGGGAGCCCCCTGGGCTGGGGGAAGGGGGCCCTGCCCAGGGCAGGGAGGTTGGAACTGGATGATCTTTAAGGTCCCTTCCAACCCAAACCATTCAATGATTCTATGAAGAAGTACCATCATGGCAATGCATTCTAATATGAAAGAAGACCCATTTTTTTTACTGTTATACACTAGAGGTATATCACCTGTCTGAAGTGTCTGTGTAACATTGGCTTTTTTTTTTTTTTACACTTTGGAACAGCTCCAGTTTAATAGAAATGTTCCTGCGGTTCCAGGGAACTTGGCTCTCAGATTCTCTAACCCCTGTCCAATTATAATAGAAAAACTGAAGGCATCCAATGATCAGAGAAATCTAGCTGGAAGTGATGACCCCACCATAAGAAGCTCTGGCAGATTTTCAGTGATATCTGAAGAGAAACTAAAATTGGCTATTCAGCTAGCCAAAAGGGACATAAAACGAAGACATCTTGAAGAGCAAGTGAAACAGCAAGTGTTTGGAGGTGATGTCAATAAACCATTGTTGGCCCAGAAGTCACAACAGCAGAAGACTGACGTATTTGAAAGTCCAGAAAATAAAAATGCACTGAAATCTCAAACTCACTTGAAATATCAGCAGAAACTCTGTCAGCCTTCCAAAATGGAGACTACCACCTCTGGTGCTAAAGTTTATGTCTACACACCAAATAAGGGAAAGCTAATACCAGCTGGTTTTGACTCTCCACCTACCCATGACACAGGACCAGACCCCAAGCCAAATGTAAATAAAAAAGAAGATAAAAATATGCAGGAAGTCCAACGGCTGCAAAAGGAGTTGAGGAAATATATCCAGAAAATTGAAGAACTGACTAAAAAAGGTGTAAGACTGAACAATAATTATGATATATAAATGTGCGATAGTTTGATGATTTGTTTTTCTTTCTGTTTTTTGGCTTGGATTAGAATCAGTATTTAGGTCTGGATTTTTGAGAACCATCTACTTTTTTTCAGAAGTAGATAAAAGCTAGAACGCCTAGCCAGTTTAAGCAATAACAGGGTTTAATATCTCTGAGTGTTTGTGATGAGTTCCAGTCCAACCTGGAATGATAATAAATTAGTGGTAGGCTATTTAATAACACGGATGAAAAAATATTTGTGTCTGTAGGCCTATTGGCTAGATATTCTGACTGCAAAAACCAGTATCATAACTAACCACATTCTTATCAGTAATGAGAAGGGAGGCAACAACTGATAAAATTTAATTTCACAAGTCTGACTCACCTAATTTATGGCTGTGCAGTAGCATGATTAATGTGCTTTCTGACGCCCTGTTATGGGCTAGCTTTGGTTGGCAGTGAAGCATCATATGCTTGTGCTCATTTCCCCCTCAGCGGGACAGGGGAGAGAATAGAAAGATTAAAAGCAAGAAAACTTACAGGTTGAGATCAGGATAGTTTAGTAAAGGAAGGAAAGAGGATGAGGAAAGGAAAAAACCCCAAAATAAGTGATGCAAAGGCAATCACTCACTACCTCCCACAAGGAGACCCAACGCCCAGCCAATCTGTGAGCAATGGCTACCTTCCCCCAGAAGACTTTGCTGAGCATGGCATGGATTATATTCCTTTGATCAGTTGGGATCAGCTGTCCTGGCTGTGTCCCCTCACAGCTTCTTGCACGCCCCCAGCCTACGCACTGACAGGACATAGTTGAAAAAAAAAGGAAGCCTTAGTGCTGTGTAAGTACTGCTCAGCGACAGCCAAAACACTGGTGTGTTATCAGCACTGTTTTACTCATAAATCCAAACTAGCACCATATTGGTGACTGAAGAAAACTATCTCCATCCTAGCCAGCCCCAGTATATGCTGCATTGGTTCTTTTGTAATAACTAGCCAGAGGTTTAACGAGAGGTTTAGCCATTCCTAATTTTGAATGCTTTACCTGCAACTTTGTCATAAAACAAAAGGGTCACATGTGATTTTGTAAAGTGTAACTAATAAGTTATATTGTATAAGAATGTTTAAGGAAATTTTAAATAGAAACATGATGTAGAGTTAAAATAACTAGCTTGCATTCTTCCTCAATGGAGCCTGGCAAAATATATCGTAGAATCATAGAATGGTTTGGGTGGAGAAGGGACCTTAAAGATCATCCAGTTCCAAGCCCCCTGCCATGGGCAGGGACACCTTACACTAGACCAGGTTGTTCAAAGCCCAGTTCAACCTGGCCTTGAATGCTTCCAGGGATACATTTTGTATTGGTTCTGCATGAAAGAGGCTTATTGATAAATTATGTTTGTTATCATGGCTTAACTGGGATTTTCACAGGTTAAACTAAGACATAAAACTTTACATTTCATGCTTTTTAGGGAGAGAGAGAGAAATTTTAGATCCTGACAAAGAGCAACAAGTTTACACTAGGAGACAGAAACAAGCTGCACGGTCAGCTCAGATGCTGTATGTACTCCAGCAACAGGTAGGAACCAGCATTTTAAATTGGGATGTATAGTAGCTAGTTTATTGTGATGAATTTGACAGAAATTAACTAAAACAAGAGAAACTTGATTGGGTTATCTCTGAAATTCATGACATTCTAATTTATATCTGAATGGTGTGACTAATTTATTTCGTTACTGGATGGAGAGATGAGCATCACTGTTGGAAAATTTGGACTTTTACTCAGACATTAGAGTGAAGATTAATTGTTCATGTATAGACATAGAGCTAATTCTGACTGACTTTCCCCACTCCCCCTCCTTTCTTTATAAACAGGTAAAAGAAATTCAGGATGATTTAGAGAAACTGAGTCCTCATAAAATCAAACATACTAAAAAGGTAAGATGTAATTATCCTTCAGGCCATGAGTAACTTATTGACAGAAAGTTTTCTAGCTAATTGAGTCTGATCGTCTAGGGTACACCTAGGCCCTCTCCAGAAGGGAGATTTTTTTTGTATCTTGCACCTTTCATCTCATTCTCACAGAAGTATGTCTCACTTGGTCTGATACTGCCTTTTCTTCCCTCTTCTCCTCAGTTCTTATCTGTCTACAGTAAAACAGAGAGGAAGGCTGTTGGTCTGCTTTTATGTTGCTTCTAATTCCTTCTTTATTCCACTTTTTTTTTCTGAATAACAGTGTTCTACTCTTGACTACATCTTTTAACTTCCTGTTGATGTCACTCAGTCTTATCAGCCTCCTTTCTGATTTTCTTCTCTGCCCAACGTCTTTCAGAAAGATAGTACTGATGTCATGCCTACTGTTTGGCCAGTATTGTCCAGTTGTTCTCTTGTGATCTTCCATGACTTGTATTTTCTTTTGTAACAAAAACTTGAGGGTGGAGAATGTTCTATGTTTGTGCAATTGTTGCACGTTCAGGTCAAGCCTGTGACTAGAGTACTCTGTTGGCATAGGTAGTGGAAACATCAGAGTGTGTTATAATGAGGCTATTTTATCTGAAGCTATCATGATACTTGATATGAGTGTTGTTGCGTATTACCTTTAGTAGATTACTTAAATGCCTGTTTTGTTTTGTCTCACAAATGGCTTCATATCCATCAGAATTATCTCAAGCCTGAATGTTTCTCCATGAAGCTTTGGCATCAATTCTTTGAATAGTATCTGTATTCATAAGAACTATAGCTAGTAAAGCAGTTATTTTTAATTTTTCCAGTCTCGTGCAGTATCCAGATTGGCGGCAGCACACAGAGGAGCTGTACGAGCCTTGCAGGCATTTGCCAGTCAGTTTACAGATCAAACAGAGCAGCAGATTCCTAACCACTACAAGGAACTGGGCAGTCTCATTCGTCAGCTGTCTCTCTGTTCCGCCAAACTAGAAGTGGATTCTTCCATTTCTGACATTATCATAGATATCCTGCTGCAAGTTGAGGTAGGAAGAAACATTTTGGTTTTGCTAAGGCAGAAAAGATGTATGAAACTGCCAGCTATATTGTGTGTTAATGAAATGGCAGAATATCTGGTTTTGTTTGGTTGTTTTTTTTTAAAGGCTGTATTATCTAATATATAAATATGTTTTTAATGTTCCTAAATAATGGTAGTCTAAAATAAAGTTGTATCCTAAACACGGAAGCTACCTGCTGCTGTTCTTGTTGGTGCTGCTTCTGTCTTTATTGGCTCTCCTGGTAGAATGAGGACTGGTAGTGATAGTGGTAACAAAGCACCAGTTTCTGATTCATTTGCCATTTTCAGGGCTGAAAGAGCTGCATTTTATACGTCGGTATAAGTTACATGTTTATTGTTTTGTGATGCATGCATTAGTCATCAGGATTAGTGATGAGCATCTGAGCCTCGCACATGGTGGTGGGCGCAGAAGATAATGTAGCTACAAGAGTTTCTTAAGCGCCATGCCCTTCAAATGGCACGTTAGTGATAGCTGGCGTCTTAAAATATGTTATTGGTATAATAGAAAAGTCCTGATTTGTGTTTCCTGCTGCAGTGGCTACCTACAAGATCTTTTTTTATGAACCTGTGTAACCTGAACTATTATGAAACCAGTATTTAATTAATTTGAATAAAAGCAACTGATCCAGTAGCCATATTTTCCTTAAAATATTGTTCTAACTGTAAGAGCTGTGTTTTTATTTTTACTTTTCTGAACTGCTTATGAGAACAGTAACAGTGCTAACTGCCTGGGACAGGAAAGGAGGTAGAATTGTTTAAGTTTGGACTTAGCATTGGAAGAAATGTCTGTCTGCCATACCATAGTCATGTGGGCATTATTTCTTTTTTGTCTGTAGCCTTTGTGTCCTTTTTTTTTTTTGAACATACTGTAAGCAGATAATTTACTGGAGTCAATTGTAAATATAAAAATGTAAGCCCTTTCTGTAAGATTTAAATTAATAATATGAAGAAGCTTCTGCATGAACAAGCTATCAGGAATAATCACTACCACAAAAAAAAAACAAAAAGAAACCACACCAAAAAATTTCCAAAAGTTAGAATCTCTTGAATTTACTTCTCATTATTACATCCTGTTTACTGAGAGTAATTAAAATTCTAAATATTTGGTGCAGGATCTGGATTCACTGCTCAAAAAGAAAAAAACACCCCAAAAAGTGAAGAAATGTACTTCAGCATCTCAGGGCAAATCTCCAAGGAACACTGAGACATTTCCAGCCAGAAAGCCGCTTACATCTCCAAAAGGAGAAAACAAACCTCTCATCTTAAAAAGACATCATGGACAAGAACCTAGAAAACCTCCAGCTGCCAGGAGTCTCTTGACTGGTTTGTACTTTGAGTTATCAAATACGTTTTTATCAGTTAACTTACCATCTGCAGTTCATTTTTGTAGTATGTTACATATTGTTGGTCAGAAGAGTATAATGGCCCATATGTAGTTATCAGATTCATATAGCCTCGTTATAAATTGTTTTCAGCTGTTCCCCTGACATGATAGACCTGCAGGTTTATATGCTTCTTCGTAACTATATTATTATTATCATCACATTCTTCCTATTTTTGTCCATTTCTTTTACTGTGGGCTACACTTGGATTTTTTTTTCTGCAGTGTACACCTAAATGGCAGTTTACATGTTGACATTAATGGTGCATACAGAGTACTTCCAAATTTCTACCTAGATAATACTGTATATTATTTTGGAATGCAGAGTCACTGACTTAGCAAGTCTCCAGCAAAGCTATCATTGTTTAACTGTTTACAGTGAAAAGATATACTGAAGCTTTGCTCAGAATCTCCTTGGTTTGTGCAGTTTCTCTACTTTTGAGAGGAGTGGCTCTGGTTTATTCTTTCCAGTTCATTCATGTTAATGTCTTCTGCACAGTAATCACAGTTCCAGTACCTAGAGACATGTTAACTGATAGTTAAGCTGAAGATTTTTTTTTTTTCAGTACTAGTTCACTATGCAACCATTGGGAGTTGGTTTACTTTATTGTTCTTTTACTTCATATATGAAAGGAAATGGGCTTTATTCTTTCTCAAGGTGTTGTGAGATAAATTTATCATCTGAAATATTTTGACACCTCATGAAAGTAATTATAGCTTATTACATTATTATATAACCTATATTAATTGTTTTTCTTAACTTTCTTATACCTCATACTGTTTTTCACTAGAACAGTAATTATTCCTTCCTACCCCTAGGTAAGGGCGAGAATTCTGTGAGATGAATTCATCTTTGGCAGTCCAGAGAAACAGTATATTGACAAGCATCTAATGGTTTCCACATGTCTTGCTCCCTAAAAAAGAATGTTTGTTTTGTTATCACAACTATTGGCAACTACCAAAAGGCTTTCCCGTGATTTTAATATATATACATGTATTTTTAAATATCTATAGATGTATAAATATATATATGCACACAAACCCCAAAATCTCCTGTTCCTTGAAACAGTGTAAGAAAGACAGTTTATTTAATACTTGTCAGGAAATACAAGGGTTTTTTTTTTCTTTTTTTATTTGATTTTTTTTAAATTATGGTAGATCTTATAAGTTCATGATTAGGTATACCTAGCTTAACAGAATTATCAAATGTAGAAATAAAGATGATTCTTGCCCCTTTCAACTTACAGTTGAAACTTTATCTATATCAGAAATAATAAATAAGCATTGACATGTTGCAAATGTTTCAGCAGTTCAAGAGGCAAACAGTTGTGCTCATATATTGCACAATAAATTCCGACAAGAAAATGACCTACCTACTCCAGAGAGACATGCTACTTTACAAGGAAGCATAGATGCACTGGTGAGAGCTAGAGCCGTAAAAAAATATCCCATCCTTGAAAATGGCCCTTTGAAGAAGAAAGGCATGTTATTACCTGCAAAATCACAGGTATGGAAGCAATAAAAGAAATTATGCTTTTTTTTTTAACTTGTCTTCTGGGATTTGTTATGATGTAAGACACTGTCAAGCTTTGCATTTCCTCAACAATTTTCTTATTCTGAGCTAGAAGGCATAGGAGGATAAACTGTAATCTGCATACATGATTTCCAGTGGTTATGACTATTTTAGCAAATGTTTTTTTGAAAGTATTGTTATTCCTTGGAAACACACTGTACAACTAGAAACCATGAATAACAGAATTAGCAAGGAAAACCTTTACTGAAACTGGTTTCATGTTTGAAATTGGCATGGTTATTTTTCAACTTGAAATCAAAGCTGTAATATTTTCCTCTTATTGGTCACCCTCTGTCATGAAAAATGCACTTGAGCAGTAATGTGCTAATTCTAATGTTAGTAGGAGGATATAAGTTAGGCAGATTTACTTTATTGATTATAGAAATTATAAAACTTCACAATACAAATTCTGGTTTCTGGTAAGTCCTCCTTGCAACCAGGAAGAAGCTTCTGTAATGCAAACAAATGAGTTCTTTAAATAATATTTCAAATTGCTAAATTTTGTAAATAGTTGGGGTTTTTTTAATAAATGACTTTTTTTTTTCCCTTCCTCAGAGTGTCACTTTCAGCTTGAAAAATCAGATCTGATACAGTAACATAGATGTATGCACATGTAACTTTTACTGCTTCCCGTATCTGTCTGTCAGTGAGGATTGTGACCAGGGAGGTTAAGCATTTCAATAATTCATACTGAGGTGACTAGTCTAAGTGACCTTTCAGCAAATACAAATATGGCAATATTATTGTTTCATGGTTGAATAAAATGTTACCTTGGAAACTTATTTGGATTAAGAGTTAACATAGAGTCTAATTCTGAAAATTTTAAAAAAAGTTTTCCCCATGAAGAGCAACATTGGAAGGATTGGAACTGTTTTTAAAAATGATAGTTGCAGGACTAAGCATATGTTCTGTTCAGGTACAGTTGTATTTCCCTTTAAATCAGTTGTAAAACCTCCACATGTGGTCAACTGTGCAAAGCCAGCAAGCATGACTTAAGACAAATTTTGAAGCAGAATGCAAAATACATTAAAAATTCAACAACTGGAATATATGTTTTTAATGTGATTTTGTTAATTTTAAGGGAATGCTGAAACCTCTAAAATCAAGACAGGTACAGCCTCAAGGAAAGCATTCCGGATTTCAAAAGACAACTATAGCTTTCCAGCTAAAAGAGAACAAACGACTTGTTAAGAAGAGCAGAGTACCCTGCGCGCCTCCAAACTCTGCATCTCCACCTGTTCCACCAAAGCGGTATGTTCACAGTCTGGTGGAACCTGTCTTTACCCTGCTTTCCTGTGGAAATGCTACCATTTCTGTACTAGTAAATAGGATGGATTTGGCCTGGCTGTCAGACCATGAAGGCAAGTGGCGCAGCACAGCTCACTACTGGATGGTTGTATTCTTTTCCCACTCAGCACAAAGTGGTCTCATTAACACAGCCTGGGAAAAGCCACTGCTTTATGCTTTTTCCTGGATCAAGCCCAAGCATTTTCTTGGAGTTGCAGATCAAACTGTGCTAGGCAGGGCATTGACAAAACACACAGTATGCAGAATGGATATTCACAGCACTGCGTTAAGAAGGCAAATATTCTCTCCATCCTGTAGACCAGGACTCCCCAAACTTAGGCTGCTTTGGGACTGCTGTTTGTGACAGTTGAAGCAGGAGATCCAACTTCTGATCTAGCTGCTGAATCTGTACTAGGCAGTGTGCATGGTAAGATAAGGAGCTTGTCTCTCCAGGCAGTATTTGTGGATAGCCATGAAGTTGCCTGTTCACCAGTAGCAGAAACATAATTGAAGATCCCTGGTTCTCAGAAGAATTTCCTGGCTTGTATAGTCTTAAAGTCAGTATTAATTTTCTCTCTACAATTTTTTGCAAGTTTTTTAAACTAATACTCCGAATCACATGATTTAATTCTTCAGTGGTTAGAATGTACGTTTTGTAATCCTCTATGTTACTGTTTTATTTTTGAAGACTAGCATGCCTTGAAGCAGACTCAAGAAGTGTGAAGGTTCTAACTGACCTTAGCAGAGGAGAAATGAAAAAAATACAAAAGTTAAGGTAATGACTTACTTTGAAGAACTAATAAATGGTGTCAGATTTGATATGGTCTGTTCCCCACCCCGAACAATCCCCTCAAAAGTATATTTATGTGTTTGGGTTTTTTAAATTATTATTGTCATACAGTTTCAGAATGACATTGTCATTTGTTCTTTTTTGTGTAGGTCACAAAGTGCTTCTCCAACCTGGTATGCAGACAAAGTTGAGAAGGCAGTACGGGAGTGCTTAGAACCTCTGTTAGATAGGACACAGGTAGTACAGTCAAGCTCATGCCACTTTTTGAAGGATGCCTTTAGTAAAACATTTATAAAAGGGCAACACAGAGTTTCTTTTCAACTTAATGCAAGTCATACTTACGTAGACAACAGAGTTTTGGACATTTGGAGAGCGTATTTCGATTTCAGTATGTGGATCTTGAATTATTGTAATGAAGTTTGGCAAAGCTACATTATTTTTTTTTTATTAGCTTCTTGTCAAGTAGATGCGATTTTAAGTTGTTTTCAAATGGTCATAACAGTTCCACACTGAACATGACTGGACTTGATAAGATTATTTTAGTAATTGTTATAATACCGTATTTAATGACCAAATAAATTTGGACTAGGAATATTAATGACTAAGAATACAAAAAACTTTATTATCACGAGAGGATTTATGTTTTGTTTAGAAGATCAATCTCTCCTTTGAAACAAACTATCATTTGAAGGATTCCTCGTTTATAAAGCACCTTTTATCTCATGCAGCTGAGAAGGTATATTCTATCTGTGTGTCAGAGAGTAAAGATGCTTGACATTTAAGATGAATTTTTATCTTTGCAACATAGCCGAATGCATCTGGTAAAAAACAGTGCTGATTTCCCAAACTTAGCAATTTCAACTTACGTAAGCCACATCTTTAAACAGTGTCATTGTATGGGTATGTACAATATGGAACAATAAGAAAGCTCTTTCTAATCATCTCTTTTGTATATTTTTAGCTTGATGTGACCTTGAATGCATAAACTTGCTTAGGGAGAAAAATGTTTTCATTTAGAATAATATAGGTAAATGAACACTGATATTGTATCGTGGCTGATTGGTAAAATTGGACACAAATGAAACCTACGGCTGTGGCCTAGATCATATGTATTTACTCATTACCACCTGGAGTTGCTGTGAGACTGTTTCTATATGATAAGTTAAATGTGCGTATAGTGTTTTGTAACATGAGGGCCTTCACTTTCTTGAATTCCTTGGTGATCTCTGAACCTGTGACAGTTTTGTCTTCAATTTGGGAACATAGTTGTGTAGCAAGCTTTTTCCATATGCATTGATTTTATTGGTAGGAACATACTGAGCTGTCTTTATTGATTTGGCTTATTGTGTGGTCGGAAGGAAGACAGAAATTTAGTTGAATTTTCATTGAAAAGAAAAGTTGAAAAGACAACTGGATTATTTCCATGAGCTGCTGTAAGAAATGTTTGATTTGTAAGCATTCTTTCCCCACAGTTGTTTGGGCTTGTTTTTTTTTTTTTCCTTTCTTTCTTGTATTGAATGTTTGGGGCTTTGTTTGTTTGTTTGTTTTTTTAATTAGCAGGTTGCAGCAAATGCAGATATTCTGAGTGAAAAGCTGTTGGATGATCTTTTGGAAGACACTGCTCAGGAACTGTGGAATATGGAGCAGCATGAGAGACTCCAGACCAGGACTCTGCCTATGGCTGACACTCATAGTCTGGAGTCAATGTTGCAAAGAATGGAAGAAATTGAAGTAAGATTTTCTCTCTTGGTTGGTCTCATCAGTGCCAATTTCTTTTTTACTGTCCATAAATTATATCTCTAAGTATCAACATTCTTAAATGAAGCAACGTCTGTCTGGATCAGTGTATGAAAGGAAAGACTTAGAAGGAGTTTGCGCTTCCAGCAAAACATACTGTAAGAATAGAAGAAGGTTTGCCCTGATGGTTTTATTGATACCTTTAGAGTTGATAGACCTGAGTGTGCCAAGACTCTGTGGTTTAGATCATCACACATGAATAGGAGAATCAGTACGGCAATTATGTTGATTGTCTCACAGATTGGAAAGTATTTGAATATTTATGAATATTTTTGTTTTGTTTTGTTTCATTTTTCTGTGATATAGGTTCCTAGTATCCTAGTAGCTTGAGGATCTCAAGGAAATATGCTCAGGCAATACAAAATATCTTACAGGGCAACATGGGGAAGTCAGACAAATACATAGTTTGTGCCCTTAGTTATCCATCTTTCTATGTAAATATTCAAGGAGTTATCATTTACTTGGCTTGAACTTTCTCATATATTGCTCTCCTAAAAGTTTTTCTTTGATCAGCTTTTCCATAGTTTTTGGTTCAAGTCCCGTTTCAACCTTCTCGTTCAATGAAATTTATCGTAACTTAGTACTGAGTTTAGTGCCATTTACTTCCAGAGATCTATTCGTAAGTTGGAAGCGTGAAGCTTACATTGTGCAGTGTCCTTATCCGTGAGGCACTTCAGCATACATTTGAATTCACCGGTGGTAAGGCAGGAACACCATGAGGGCCCTTCAGTTGTTTGCTAACTGCTGTTGATCTGAAATGAGAGGAGTTGCCATGGTACTGGCAACTAGTTGAGTCTTCAAGTATGGCATTTTAACAAGATGATTACCTGTGATTTCACTCCCCCACCCCTTTTCAGTGTTATGTTAACTAGGCAAAATAAGACTAATTTGACCAAGGAGCATCATGACCAGTCATAACTAGTACAGCTAAACTAAGTATGTGTTGATTGATTAATTTCCTGTGTTCAAAACCAGAGATACCAGGAGGCTGTGCGCAGGAGATTCACCCAGCTTGTGTACAGTGATTTGGAGTTCTGGGCCCAGGAAGACAAAATGGGTAAGTGTCTTATTAATGCATCTTGTTTTTCTTGTAATCTGTATCTTTAAATGCAGATGTTTTGAAATCAAAATCACTGGATTGTTGTGATAAAATAGCACCATCCAGACACGTTTCTTACTATAAGTGCTCCTTTCAGAGGACTGTTTCTAAAATATACTTCTAAAATTAATATTTTAAAGAGGAACGATCTTTTCTGAAACCAGGCTGTCATTTTCTACTTGCCTTTATTGGGGCTGCATTTGAATGGAAAGCACGGATAGTTCAACTTAACTGAAGGATAGGAATCTAACACATGCTTCCAGTCACCGAATGTTAAGTTTGAATGTTGTCCCTTTTCTAGGCATTTGTCATTCCTTAGGTTAGATTTCATTTTTTTTCTACCAAAATATGAGTAATGATTTTTGTGCAGTGATGATGATATTCCAGAAGTACATACGCTCCTATTCATCTGTAAGCTAGTTTAATTTCTGAGTCTGAGGTATTTTAAAGCCACTTTATTTGTCTTGTTAAGGTCTTCATGACTTGCTTGTCTTAATTTTTGAGAAAGCGACTGGCAAATCTATAAATCTTAATCTTGAAAAGACTATTTAGCGTGTTCTTATTTGACTTGATTCCTTTGAAACTCCATTCATTAATTACTTGGCAGTAATCATTTTCATGCTGATGAATTCAAAACTATTCTTAAGAGTTCACAGGTTGAGGTAAGGTATAGTGAAACAATCTGGCTTTGTTCCTGCTGTTGATGGGCTTAAGCAGGAGCAAGCAGATATTTATCTTCTAGTTTGCTTCTCCCATTTTCTTTCCTTTGTTTTAATAACCTATCAGTTTAAATGGCTTAGAGTTCAAGAGTAAACGTTAGGTAAGTATTAGTGTAGCAATGAAGCCATGACAGTTTAAGGTTTTTCTGGCAGTACACAGAAGATAATATTAAGTTATTTAAGCTTTAAAGATTTTTCTCTTTCCTTATTCCTTTCAAGTGATGGTAACATTGGTTTTAGATCCTGCAGCATACATGAAAGTTTAATTTTTATAGTCTCAGAAATGTCTGGATTTTTCTGCACAGAATTCATTATCCAATGTGCTTTAGCAGAAGGTATTTAATCTTTGAGAAAAACAGTTTGGATGCTTCCAGTTCACACTAATCACATTTTTTCCTGCTTGTGGATAGAAAATTGGATAGAAAATAGATGAAAGAATGTAAGGCTCTTCAGATGAGAGATATAACTAACTTTCCACATCAGGTTAACTTTTTAACTGAGAGGGACCCGAGTAATATTAATAGGAAACTGTTCACTAGTGAAAGGTAGCATTCCAAACAATAGTCTAATGTTTCCCACATACAAGTGTACTTAATGTTGTTTGCCACAGTGGCATGCTCATAAGGATGACTTATGTTTGTTGTTTTACCATACCCCTGCTCTGTTCTTTTTCCTACTATTTGATTGAGTACAGCAGTGAAGCTACACTAATCTTTCCAAGCTGAGTATCTGATTACATACTGCCTTTAATGGAACTGTGTTGTTTTGCACCAGTTGGAAGATCTCATAATAAGACTGGTGAAGAATTAGCCCAAATCTTGGTGGATTGGGTTTTTTTCCATGTTTTGGATTTACTGTCAAGTTTAATAGACTACACTAGTTTTAGAGTGGTATTTTCTATCTTTCCTCTAGAAGTACCTACTGACACAACAAACTACCTATACTACAGGTAGGATTTCTAAAATGCTCAGCTTTAATACACTGAGCTCATGGAAATCCTGTATTGAATTTACATTTTAGGGGCTCGTCACCTTCAATACTTTACTTATCTGAAGAACTTCCGCTTAAAAGAAGCAAAAGGCTTTGTGAGGACTTATCTGGAGTAAATGTAGTTTTTCTCTTCTAAAGAAACAATTTCAAATGTTATTTTCTTCCTTCTAGAAGAACAAATTTCATCAATAGATAAAAGACCTACATCTCCTCATCCAATTCAGATAACCAAATTAATAGGATGTACAGAGCCAGAAACTGACATTTTATTTGAAAAACGATTTGATGGCAAGTAAGTAGAATATTTGGCCCTACACTAAACTGTGGTGCATATGAACTGTGTGTCTTCATTATAGTGTTTTCATTACAGAAAATTATGGTTACTATTTGAAGAGATTTTCTGATCCTTCAAAAATATACTTGAAAATCTAGTTCTGGCTTAATGACTATTTTATGTTTCCAGTGACACTGATGAAAACAAAGAAGCAGAAGAGAAATTGCAGACTGGAAATGACATTCTGCAGCCCTTGACTCTGAATTCTCTACAGAAAGAGTGCTATGTGTCTCTTTCCGTGCCAAAGTATATGCTCCAGAGCATCTTGGATTATAACAGCAGATACCAGCATCACTTAAAGCTTATTTCCCACGAGGTGGTAGGCAGTTTCAATCCATGGCAGATTGCTGAGAGGTATATGAACTATCTTTGTGTTTTTGAAGTGAATATATCAGCTGATTAAGAGGTTTTTCTGTCCTTATTCAGGAAAGGAGTGGGGAGGGGGCAATTTAAATTCCAAATTGAAAGCCAGAAGCAGTCAGCTTTTTTTATTTCTCTACTGGTACTTGGTGTTCATGGATTTCTAAGGTATTTGGATAAAACAAAAGGATATGGGAGCAGAATGTCCTGGAGGAATGATTATTTTTTATGTCTTTCTATGGTCCACAAAAACAAGTGTGAAATACAGGGTAACTTAAATTATTTTCAGAAGACTACCATCAACAGAAAAATTGAAGGAAAACAAAATTAACAACTTTTTTTTTTTTTTCCTTGAGTGAAAAAAAAAAATAAAACACTGCAAATAACTGTGCGACTTTTAATCTTTGTGGTGAGAGATTATGAAGTGGATGTTTCATGGAACAACAGTAGATATGCTTTAAAGTGAGACCAGTGGCCTTAGCACAGATTTCAGTAGTTTCTCTTCCACAAGTCTTCATGCTTCGTGGAGTTCACTGTGGGAAGTGTGACATAGGTGGCTTACCATCCCTTACTACAAATTGAAGAGGTGAAGAATCAATAAGCAACAGTCTCTCTGCTGTTCACTTCCTAGCAAAGAAAAATTGTTTATCACACTTAATGTCTGCTAAGCAAGCAGGGCAATATAAGCTGAAATGCCCATGCTTGCACTGAAGCTTGAATAAATGTTTTGATTGCTCAGTAACAGGGATAGCAATGAAACTGTATCACTGGTTATCATTTCCTTGCACTTTCTTGAGTGATTGCCTACAATTTCCTAGAAATTGTTTTCAATATGTATGATATATCTCAGAAATTACCTATTGGCCTTGTAAAGTCCCAGTTCCCCAAAAACATGGAAATACAGGCTGAACTTGAACCTTGCAAGTCCTGTTCTTTCAGAACTGAAGAAATACTGACATGACATCAGTTGGCATAGAGGGGCTGTTACTTCCCAGCAAAGCGGAAATCAGAAGACTCCTGACTATAGGAGGAGAGGAAAACTGGAGTATTAAGAAAGAATTACAAAATCTAACCTCAGTGGTCATAGAATGTTTGCCTTAATTGTCCATATTGACAGACTGGACATCAGCTTTAATTGCCAAGAGTTTTTAAACTTCTGCACATGTTTTTAATGTAGTAGCATTGAAATCAGTGATATAGCTAATTTGAGTAACATTTGTCATCTGCATCAATTTTTCCAGGGACATGTCCTGCCATATTTGATATGACTTGCATGTGTGAAGTTAATCGTGTGTGTTGATGGTTTGCCCAACTGTGGATAAGTAGGCAAATGTTGTAGTTAATTGTGATTAGACCACTGTGTTTGAGAATCTACTGAACTAAACCACTGCAATATGCCTTGTCAGTCCTCAGTACTGTCATTTTATGCCTTCTGAACTGTACTTCTTTTTATAATTGGTGTGAGGCTGAGTAGTTCAAAGACTGGCACCTTCTTGGAATTGGCAGATGGATTAAATGGCAGTGAATCTCTCCTGACAGCTGAATTCCACTGCTGCTGTTTGCCTGTTACATGTTGTTACTTGAAATTGAACTACAAATGCAATCCGATATCCAGCATGCTTCATTGACTTATTCTTACCACCAGAGGGCATTATAAATATTTTTATATAAAATAGTATTACACAATGTTTAAAAGAAACACTCCCATGCTACGCTGAAAAGGTCTTAGAAAGACTAACTTTATGATATTTTAGAGTATCTGCAAAACGGAAGAGATGTTTCCAAGAGGCCAGTAAACAACTGTGTTCTTACACTGAAATAGTTTTCCCTTCTTTAACATCTGCTGTGGTCCAGAGATCACTGAAAATTGAAATTTCTTGTATAACTTTTCCTTAATCTTTATTGCTCTCAGCAATGCCTGATTCAGTGGCAGCTAAAATCAATAAGAAGCTTCCCATTTACTTCAGTGGCCTTTGGATGAGCACCATAGAATATTAAGTCTTATTCTCAAAGCAGGATTAGTATCTAAGAGTTTGAAAAAATGAAGCAATTGAGATCTCTCAACACTTTTAAGCCCAGAGTATGCCCTTTGCTATAAGCCAGACTGAGGAGAGAATTTCTGATATCTTATACAACGCATATCAGAACACATATCTGATCTTTTCTTAGGCTAAGCTGTAGAAAGAATTAAAAAATATGAGTATTTGCCTTTTAAAATCAGAGCACTGATATCGGTGGAATGAATGACTGGAATTTGAAATCTGACTTTCTGAACCTTCTCTTTTTTTTTTTTCCTTCCTTCTCCCTCAGTCTTGCAGAGCAACTAACAGAAGAAGCCTTATGTGATGTGGCAGCAGAGCTGCAGGATGTTTGTGAGGATTATGCAGAAGCTGTGTTCACATCAGAGTTTTTGCAACCAGCACAGTAAATGCTTTCAAATCTGCCCCATTATCAAATGCAACATCAGCCTCAGTCTAACAGTCTTATCTGATGATCTAATTTTTCATGTTTTTTTAAAAGTCTGTGAGATTCTGTTCACCAAATTAATTAAGTCCATCACTGATTCATCTTGAGTTCTTACAAAACCATTATCATGTTGCTTTCCTTTTCAGACTTCATTATACTGCATTTATCAGGACTTTATTTCTTTAGCCAGTGTTTCAGTAGAATGAAGTAAGTTAGAGGTAAAGTTTATATATTTTCATAGGAATACCAACCCATTTGTATACCTGTATTACTTCATTCATTTTTTATGTGATCTTCTTGCTAGAATAAATTACTGGGAGGAGGACTGGGTTCAAACGTGTCACGGACTTAGCCGTACTGTGCCTCAATTTTCTGGTTTAAAATGGAGAGAATCTGACTTACCTACCTCATAAGGGAGGTATGGGTTTTAGTTTATTCTTCTCAATAAAATGGATTGAATGTATCTGATAGTTGTGTCAGCAGAATTAAACATTATTGATATTTCTAAAGCCAAGATGCAGCAGTCCAGAGTAAAAGCTGTTTGGTTTGCTGCTTAGGTCTTTCAGTATCATGGAAGAAAGATGTTGTCTGACCACCATGTTTAGCATATATGCTAGGATTAGTTCTTTTGGAGATGTGGCTCTCCAAAGGAAGGATCCTTATGGCACAGCATTAATTAGATGTAAACACTTAGTATTGGCTGCAGTCATAGGCCCAACAGCCTGCTTGGACTCATGCAATCAACTTCTGAATGCAGTATCTTTTCTGTTGGTTTCTGAATATCACTAGTACATTATGCACAGACAAACGAGACCTTTCAATAGAAACACATAATGGAGATTTTCTTTTTAAGCTAGTCTAAAATATAATTTTATCAGCATTTAGTGATCCAACCCCACATTGCTTGTTCTTAAGAATCCCATTGAAATCAAGAGCAACAAAATAAATGGACAATTGCTGTTTCTGCAATATTGAATTAACTTGTTCATTTCTAGTAAACAATGTACTAGTTTGAATTATGTCTGGAACAAACAATGAGTAATAATTATTTATAGTAGTATTCTAGGGAAATGTGAATTCAACCTTTGAGGTAACGCCAAAATCAGTATGACAGTCTGTTTCCTTTGACAAATCTCTTTTCTCCAATAGTGTTCAACCTATAACAGAACAATTTTTAACCTTCTAAGATATTTTTATTTCATCTAATTAGAACATACATTTAAAAAATAATTTTGGTTTTATTGAATCCCGGTTTACTGTTTTGTCTTGAAATTTACACCAAGTGTAGTGATGTAAATTTTACTGCTGATTTGTGACTTTGCTGATGTATGATTTCTATAATTTAAAACACTATATTTTTTTATTTCTAAGATTATAGAGATAAGCCTGTTTTGAAGTCCAAAAGATTAAAGCCATAGTGTCTCTATGTATGTGTACATACGCTTGTGAAAGTATTTTCAATATATTTTATTTTTTAATAACACTTGTTTCTTAGGACTGAACATAAGTTTTAATTTAAGATAACTTCCATCTGAACCCATTTGGAATAGTTGGCACCCAAGGGAGTACTGGGCAACATTACAAGAGTCAGACTACCATATGCCTAAAAATAACATGGTCATCTGTCAAGGTAAACATACTTTCTCTCTTAAATCCCATGCTGCTGTGAGTGGTATTCTCTGACTGATGATGCCAAAGTGAACTTTTATTCTGGATGAGAATTTTGTGGTATTTGGGTGCCTTCGTGGAGCAGAAACGTATGGAGAGTGAAGGCATTAGGTAGGATCTCTGACTTCACACTCTTCAGTCCTTCCTAAGGAACTTAACTAAAGGATTTACACATGCAAGCTAGACCATTATGAAGTTTCTACCTTGAAAAAATTTATTATTTTAGGCCTTCGTCTTAAAGTGATTCTGCATGTCATTGTTCCTAAGGGACAAATCAGCATCAAGCTGGATAAACATTATACATGTCCATAATTCTTGTCACTCTTCATAATCTCTATGTTGATAGAGACTATATATGGTGCTCAAATGTGTAACAATAATACCACTGCAATTGTTAACTATGCATCTAATGAGCCATGTTAACTGGCCATGCACTTATTTAAAGCAGGTATGCATCTAAGTCCCTGCTTGTTTAAAGCTGTCATGGGTGAGTACCAGAAGCAGTTTCAGATTTTAGAATTATTTTAATGGTATGGACAGTGAAGAATACATTTTCTTGGAGACTGCGCTGTTACTCATTGCTCAGAGTCTGTAGGAACAGGTTAGATATCCAAAACATACTATTCTACCTGGTGTTGCAGAGGATCCACTTCCATAGATCTGGACTAGATTTCATTGAAAGATCTTTGCAGGCCTGTTTTTTTTTTTGTGATTCTTTATGGACAAGTTTATTCAATGTTAGGGCTGTGAGAGGGCTAAAACAAAACCAGCATGAAATAATTCAGTGGTTCTACAGATGTGTGGATGACTCCAACAAAAATCAGTCGCCGCAGTCATATATAGCAAAAGTAGAATTAAAGTTTACAGAGTGGCTTGGGGTGATTCAGGTGATAGCTGGTAGAAGCATATCGAAGTAGTTTGGTGTAAGGGCAGTACCATATCCTGGGTGCGCCAACCAAATTAATTGCCCTGACTAGTCAGCCTGGGACCTCTGCCTGGGGCCAAGAGCCCCCCTTGTAGTCAAGCAAGTCCCTGGTCCTTGCTGAAGCTGTGCCACAGGTACAGCCATGTCGCCCCCTGCTCATCCAGACTCGCTTGACTTTGGCTCCAGCTCGTTGCCTTGTGCGGTCTGGTGACACCTGGGCTGTCAGTGGGACCTGTGACTGTCACCATCCTGCCCTGCTCAGGCACTGTGGGACTGTGTCCTGCTGGTGCAGTTACTTCCCAGCCTGTGCCATGGGCACCCTGGGCTCCTGGCTTCTCTTTCCTCCTAGGGCAGCCGCGCTCCTCCTTCCTGACAGATAACCAGGTGTGTAGGGAGCAATGAAGCAAAGGGGTGAGGGGTCACTCTGGAAATCCTCTGTGAGGACCCTGAAGACAGGACTGCGCATTTGCCTTCCACGAGCAGCTCCTGAAAACATGCAATCTACTCTGTAAATATTTAACTGTAGAAATTAAATCGGCATGCTTCTGGGAGTGAGGTAGTTATGGCAACAGTGCTTGCTTTGGAGAGCTGCTTATTTCTACTAATACTGGACCTAATTCAACTTCCGTTAATGTCAATGTAAGAGCATAATTGAACTCCTTTCTTCTCTTTGTTTTGCTTTGTCTCTGGGTTACTCCTGGATGCTAACTTTCTGCACAGTCTGCTTCTCTATGGACTACTTTCCTTCCAGAAAAAAGAGGTGGTTTTTTTTTTTGGTTTGGGTTTGGTTGGTTTTGGTTTTTTGTTGGTTGGTTGTTTTTTGTTTTGGGTTTTTTTTGGTTGGTTGGTTGGTTGTTTTTTTTTGGTTTGGAGATCTGATTCATCAGCAATAAGAAAAGGGGTTCTATTCATGATGTACATGCCAGTCAATTATCAGCCAAATAGAAGATCTGCTTCAGTATATCTGCTCAAGGTATGTCCTGAAAGAACATAAGAGTTTTCAAGTATATTTTTCCTCAGAAGACCCCACATTCTCTCTTGCAGCTTATGGTTTAGGATGGTAGTCTGGCCTAAGGGAAAAGCAGCAGGTTGAAGGACAGTGGTCCCAACTGGTCATTTATCATCTTTCCTTGTGATTCACCTGTGTGTTTGTGCCCGTCTGTTGTCTTTTGCATAACAGAGGTTGCAACATGTTGGTAAAAGGGCTGCCTCAGTTCACACAGCTCCTAGCACATGGTGGAAAGTGCCTGACCACTGGAGCTCTTAACCACTACTATAATATTAGTGTGGAACAGGGATCTGGCTGGCAGAATCTGCCTTCTGAAATATCACACTGAGAACAACTGAAATAAATGCAAAACAGGATTTAATTTTAAATTGCAAGTATTAACCCTGCACAGAAGGAAATGTTAACCCAGTGTTCAATCCTTACTTCCACTCATTTTGTGGAGACATTTTTCTTCACAATTCGTTTTCTTTATTCTTTTTGCTGTAGGAAGATGTCTTTTTCACAGAATAAATTCAGTCGCTGCTGAGCATTATTTTTCAAGGACTGATTTTTAATATATTTACTTTTTGGTTTTAACCGTTCTTTTAAGCAGCCCCTTGATTTGCCAAGATGCTATTGGACTTGCATAATTTTTAAAGCTTTTATGTAGGCATGGGTGTAAAAATTGCTGAATTCAGAGCTAATTCATGAGCTATGTGAATTTTCCATCAATCAGATTCCTACTGTACCACATATATTCATGTAAATCTAGCTATAGATTCCAGCACAGAATGTCATCCCACAGCATCAAGGCAGTAGTCAGTGCTTTCCTTTTGCTTCACTTTCTGTCAGGGGAGATTTGTATTTTCAGTCTAGCTGTGCCAGAGGTGGGCACACAAAAGACAGGGTCACCCTGACAAACTGGGATATGTGCCACGGGTGATACCTTGGAGGGTGCTGTTGATGTGGCTAGTGGCTTAAGGGGCGAAGACGAAGCAACCTGGTAGTGACCACAAGAAGTCAAGAGCTTGTAGTTCTGTGCAGGAGTAAAGGAGCCAGGTGGGTTAGACTGGCCACAGCTGCAGTGATTGGTGTTACTGGTGTTGGCCTGTGTATGGGAAGATAACCAGGGTGAAAAAGCTACAGCTTGGGATGGTGCAGAGCTATGTGCTTGCTGTTTGCACCTGGCTCTGTAGAAGGCGTTGCTGGAATACTTTGTGTGTTTCCTTCTGGGGCTGGGAGAGCTGCATGAGTGCTAGCTGGAGGAGTGAGACTGGTCCTTGCTCTGAGCTCAGGTTTCTGGAGCAGGCCAGCCCTCTGGAGGTTAATGTAGGTAGACATTCTATGGGGAATACAGTAAGATTAGTGTGAGAACTAGATGAGGAAGGGATGGGAATAAAGAGAGAGAATGAATTATGTCTGAGTAGCTCTCAGTCATGCTCAGTTAGCTGTTAATATAGGGAGGAATGGTTTCTCAGGATTTCAATAACACAGATTTTTTTTTTTTTTATAGCACTTTGTATATGCTGAGAATTGTAATGTTTCCTTATGCATTAAGCACTCATCCTCCACCGTGTGGTACCTGAAAGCTCTGTGGAGTCAGAACTTGGTTCACTGTGGTGATTTTTGAAGCTGCTTGCCAGTCCTTTGGACTCCCACTAAAATCAGTAAGGGACTGAATGTCACTGGTGTCTTTATCTAGTTCCCTTAAGGATCTGTTTCAGTGTTGTTTCTCGTAACCCCATTTCATAAACCTGACCTTAGGCCAGCCTACATGGTTGGGAGCAGATGCAGCTCTGATCCAAAAGGGCTGGCTCAGTGTATAACAGCACTCTGTTTTAAAGGAATAAATCTGTAGGACTGAAAGCTGTGGGATGCTCTAGCCTGCCACGCCCTTTGGTTTTTCTCAGCCTGGTCATTGTGGTAGTGTAAATTGGGCTTATTACTTGTGGAAGATTTAGACAGGAGCTGTGAGAGGGAGGAAGGGTGGGTGACCTATAGAGAAGATTTTCTGCAGAAAGATTTACTTTGGTCCACATTAACTGTTTAGAATTCTTTTGTTGTTGCCCCTTTATAGAAAGGTTTTGGCTTCCTGTTTGTGCATGTGTTAGAGATTAGGAAACAATAAGATTTAATAGGCTTGGAATCAAGGAAAGGCTATAACTTCAATCATTTTATGAGTGAAATGGATGCCAATAGATTCCTCATACTATCAGTCAACAGTCATTTGTTTTTCCTGTAGTTGTAAAAGTCCTTTAGGAGAGGCCTGTGTGGGATTATTAACTGTACAGAGTCTCTCAACAGGCTGTGTTTGAACTGGAAGTCAAACAACAGCAATAGAGCACTGCTATTTTGTGGCTGGTGTTTTAAAGTGCAGTGGCCAGGAGGAAAGACGTCTGCCCTGTCCCCTTCATTCTGAGCCACAGCGGTGGCAGCTTTAGGCTTAGCAGGTCAGTGGGCTAACATAGCAAAAGGCTGGTCTGGCCCAACTGAAGGCTGCTGTGAGTCCATCAGCAACTTGGCACTGACAAGCTGGCACCAACTACTCTTTGTACAGTAAAGCCTGTGAGGGTACCTAGAATGGACTGGTGTCTTGTGTTCTGCTCAGTTCACTCTCATGGCACATTTTGTCTTGGCTGTTTATACCTGATGTACCATGTAATGTTTCTCTGTGTGGGCAGATTATTTTAGAATAGGTGAAGTGCAATGAAAAAGGGAGGAGGTTGGAAATAGTAGTGAGCTTGACAAGGAAAACCAATGTGTCATTAGTCTGTCCTGCCTGCTGATGACTGAAAGGAAAACTGGTTGTTTCTGGTAACATATCTATAACATAACTATAACTCCGTTAGGCTGATTTCTTTTTCATATTGTTGTTCATTAGATCTTGATTTATACTGACAGAAAGGATTTACCTCAAGCTATCCAAGATGCCTTTGAACTTTACTCCCTCATTGGAAGTAGAGCAGTGCTAATCAGTTATCAGTTACAGCAGTCTATATTCTTATTCTATAATGCACTTGTCTCTGAGCCAGTGGTAGTCAGTGAAGTT